TTCTAGCGTCAACAAGGGATCTGGTACCGTTTTCTGAGTAGTTGTTTTCTTTTGTTACGGGCAAAAGTAACACACTAGTAAATACCTTTTGAATGAAAAAGCCTGACCTTATCTAACTATTTCAATGAAAATACAATTGCTTGGATGCCCCAAACACAAGACTTTGGTACTGGGTCGGTTTTTCCTTCACAATCGGGTACTTTTTGAATCAAGGTACGGCACCACATTAAAAGTAGAAGGTGGTTTATTTGGAGTGCAAACTCCATGAATGGGCTTACCTCGCTGTTGCTTACAGAAGTCCTTGAGTTTTGCTTTGTCAGTTTTGAGCGCTCCTTAAGGAATTCCTTCTCCATTACCATCTGAAAGCAATTGCTGGGCAAGTCAATGTAAATCAAAATAAATTGACCTGCGGTAGCCTCAAGGATTCTTTTACTTTCAATGCTTTATGCATTTCTGCAACAAAAATCGTTTTCAATCTGGCAGTCATGTTAGAGTTACTGCCACATATGAACTTGTTGGGGATCCACGATTCCCCAAGATTGGTTTCTGATTTTATTTACATTAATTTATTAATATTTGTTTTGTTACGCTTTTATCAAGTCAAGGTCAACCTTGACTTGAGATAGCTTTCAAATTACTTTCGATTTCACTTCTTCTCTGCACGTGGCTCACGTGAATAAAGCTCTCTACTCGAGCTCTGTTCTTGTTCTGGGTATTAGCCTGGGAAGGTCGGTTCTAGCTTACAGCAAGGGATCTGGTACCGCTATTTGAGTGGTCCTCTCTATTGTTACGGGCAAACGTAACAGAACTTGTACTGTAAAGACTGCTACAACCCTAGTCACCAGTTGATAATTCGTTATGTAGACAAATCTCCATAGGATCCGCGAGGTGCATATTGCAGCCTCACAACTCATCAAAACTTCCCCCGTAAAGCATTTCATCTTTTCGCACGGACGCTGTGCTGCAGTCACGCTATATCACTGTTCACACTAACAACTCCACACTCAGTTTAAATCACTCTCAAGTCATCGGATCAAGGTCAGCTAGGCACATATAAGTGGGCGCACCTGAAGGTATACCCGGCGTTCGACGTTTGGATAAGACAGTAAAGGCTCTCTACACTGGTTCCCTTGCCCTTAGACAAAAGACGTGCGCATTTGCCCCATGAATTTGTATTTTGGGTGAGAGCAAAAGTGTAACAGTTATATTTTGGGTTAGAAGTAGAGAGCCTAGCAAGGCCGAAGTGTCCGTAAACAACCGTCCTTATTTTCGGTGGATAGGTTTAATTATCACCAAACGTCTAAAGAATCGTGTAATGGGCCTTTAAAGGCGACTTCTAAAGCCTCATTTAAATTGTTATGACCAAATAAGACCGGGTGTGAACCTGATTGGAGGATAGAGAAGGTAAAAAGACCGACAGACATTATGTAGTCAGGTCACGCTATACCACATTATTGAAAGCGAGTTTCAAAGTGCAACTGGGATATTTTTACACCCCTTAGCTACTAGAAGTAGATATTTTTTATGAAAAGTAAAGGACACGTTCTGTTGCAAATCCAAGACAAAATACGTCCAGTGGTTTCTGCCATGTGGTCACTCACAACGTATGAGGTAAGTGTTTGGCCGTTCCTAATTGCATGAAAAGCCGAATCACTGTTGCAATGACGGGCATCCAGTGCGGTCCCCAATTTCTGATTTAAACGTTGGGGACACGTGGTTTCAAAGACGAACGATCTGCCTTAAACCCTGGGTCTCATGGTCTGGCTCTCATGGTGCCTCGGTCACAAGAGACATGCTTACAAGCCCATCGAAGCTTTTTTGATCGCGTCGATCCCGTGCCACATAAAGCCTTGCGGAGCCTGCCCGGAGCAAATCAGGAATGAAAGAAGGGGTTCGACGTGAAAAAGCGCCAGCGATGATGGCCCTTCATTATTTCACGTGAAGGAGATGCTTGCGCATTTTCAAAATATGGATTATGCAAACTAGTGAATGTTGCACTAAGCAAATATGTTGGGAAAAAGTACACTTTAATGCACAAAGGTGCGCGCTCATGTCGATACCGAAACAGAATCAACGCAGATGGTTTTGATAGGCATTTTAACCTTCTTTTCACATTCCCACCGTGTCTTGACCGAGTGTTAGGAGTTACACAGGTGGCTTGACTCGGTCGAGACCGCATGATTCTTGTTGTGGGGCATTTGATCCGATTCCTAAAGGTCGTATATTCGAATACCGACCAGATTTCTCTGCCTACAGCAAGCAAGCTTGAAACTTCTACTTACGTTTGCTGAGGTGGTCTCATACTAACCCGTTTCACTAGGATAACGTCAGTTGTGTCAAGCAGGGTGCATTGACTTGAATCTGACATTAAATCCAGTCATCGAATCTCATGTTTATAGCAAAATCAGTGCCAAATGAATTAAAATCCCTTCCGATTATACGATAAATAAATATGTGGGGTCTTTTGTATAAACCGAGGGATAAACTTACATCGTAGAGCTTAGAGCGATACTCTGATATGCTAAGCTTCTGATCATCACACAGAGGCGGCACAACCACTCGGTTTGCTTCAATTTCGTTTTCAGGATCGCGAAACCTAGAAACCACTCCAAACATTTATTCGACTTGCATATCAGATGCTGGTTTCATAGGTGAAGTCTGCGTAAGGATATTGAAGTTAGAAATTTAACTGACAAACAAACTTTTATTATCAAGTACAAACCCAAATTAAAAGCTATCGACAGGAAATAGGCATTTGAGAAGTGCTGCAAAACAGGATTTGGTGCTGAAGTCCTACTTGACGTTAAACTAAGTGAAAAAAAGGTTAATTCTTTTTCTCCCGTAAAGAAACCATATTGTTTATTGCGCAAATGATAAAGACAATCTTAATTTATCTGCACATGCTGAATGAAGGAATAATTCGCCCTTATCCATTAAGACCACAATATCAAGGAGGTACATTTGGAATCTGAAGCGACACTACACACAGAACTTAGATTTTTTTCATATGTTCCCGGCAGACAGTCACAGAATTGCACAAATTTTTAACTTCTAAATTCGACATCCATAATTATTAAATCGTCTGCAATGTCTGTTGTCATTTCATGCAAGCAGTTCAAAGTGATGGACTCGCACAATGAGCTGAAGCGACGTATGAATTTGAGTTCATTTCAAATCGTACACGCCAAGATTAACTCAAAAAACGACCGACTCTACCAATTTTAATGATACTAATAGAGGCTAGTGTGGGATTAGTAATCTCCAAAGCCTCATGGTGGGCGGGGCCGGTTACTATGGGAATAAAGCTGAAAACGAACGTAGCCAACAGCGCCATTTTAAGCAGAATTGCGAATCATGAATTTTAAAATAAAAAATTCTTCCGTTATGCAGTTAGCCAGACGGTAATACAAAAGTGAACCCAAAGTGATTGTGAAAGTAAATATCAAGAAAAACATTGATAATCAACTTTTGTTTTGATGATGAGGAGACCAAAAGAACTGCTGTTTTTAGGCTGGTATTGAGAGTTACAACTTATTTGCTGCTTTTAAAAACCAAAATTCCAGGCGAAACAGTTTATGGCATCTGTTTACCCACAATATTTTGCGTTCATACTTAGATTCGTTAAGCTCAAATGCATGCCAAAATTAGAGGACGTCTCTCAATTAATTTTTGGTGCATTCCTATAAATTTAAAGATAAACTCGTTAACCACAAAAGGTCTTGATTAAATAACACCATGAAGATCTAAGAAATTGAGAATTTGACAAGCCCCAATGAAAAGTCACTGACTTAAGCACGTAATCGTGTTCGAGGGCTTGTTCTGCCGTGAGACGCTTGTTTGGATTCAAACACAGAAGACAGCAGACCATGTTGAATGCACTGGGCTCCGGGACTGGATTGATTACCTCTTTCAAGGTTTTGCGAGCTCTTGGAAAAGAAAATAAAGGCGAGGACACAATAGTTAGCTAAAATTAAACCCATTACACCTGCTACACATTCAAACAGTTTTTAGTAAGGCTGTACGTGTAGAGAGTGAAGACTTCACACATGCATAAGGTTTCTACATTCATAATGATGACCTTTTGGTAAAGTGCAAGCTAAAACAAAAATGAGCTTGAAAACATTTTGCAATTGTTTACTTTAAACAACCATTGGCGGAGTTTTAGCGAAATTAAATAGAGATGAAGAAAAAATAAGCTTACTTCATTTTTGGTTGATCTAAAATTGAAGCTCCATATTCCGATTGGAGACACGCGATATCTGAAAAATTGTTAGTTTCATTGACTTGTGTAAAACTTTAAAAAGTGCTTTCTGTCAGCTAAACTGATAGAAATTAATTCCAGAGTCTAGTCCTTTGTAAATTAATTAAGCACGCCAACTAACTAAAACATTACATGAGGAGCCAAACGAAAACGACAATATAAATTATTCTTAATAGGTTTTGGCGAAAAACTGATGGGTCGGGTTCGGAAAAACCACTGGACGCATTATTTAAAAGTTACATGTGTGAGGCAGTTTACTCATCAAAATAATATGGCCAAACTGTGACTCCAGAAATAAATCTTTCCAGATGCAAACACATTTTTAGATCAGCATGAATATTTTCTACCAAAAATACTATATTGACTCAATAGCTGATAAGGGATAAAAAATTACATCTTAAATTAAGTGCTGCTGACATACCACATTAAATGATAAAGAAACTAATTTCCCAGATGCTGCTCTATTTCAGTCTAGAGTAAATAGTCATTTTGCTAATTTAACCACAAAACAAGTTGGATATTAACTGTTCTTTCATTACAAGAATAATAAATTTTTAACATTTAACTGGAATATGTCAGATATGTAATAGTCCAAGCTATTTCGCTCATCATAATGTCCCGTTTTTCCAAAACTAGAACAAAATATTAAAGGAGCAAAAAAGTTGGTTTTAGAAACACTGAAACAATACACGCGGTAAAACAATACACTAGTTTTTTAACCAAACAAGGAATCAACACATTAAGACGAACCTTCACGACTGGGTTCCGGGCCAACCGACATTATCATCTCAATTTGATGTAAAGTCGAACTTCCGGGAAATAAGGCTTTACCAATGAACATTTCCGCCATAATGCAGCCAATTGACCACATATCAACGCCCTTTGTGTAATGAGATGATGAAAGAAGAATTTCAGGGGCTCTATACCACCGGGTAGCCACATATTCTGTCAATTCGGGATTTCCTAGGTCTGCAGGAACATCACTGCCGTTTTGTACCGGAAGTCGTGTAAGGGAACGCGTGAGGCCGAAATCGCACACCTTCGCATTACAATCAGAATCTAGAAGAATGTTTGAAGGCTAGAACGTTAAAAAGCAAATTAAATTGAAATAAACAACACGATGAGCTGAATGAAGAAAAACTCACTTTAAGATCACGATGAATAACATTGGCAGAATGAATGTATTTAACTGCCTTCAGAATTTGATAGATTATGTACTTCTTGTGCAGATCCCTTAAAATATTCCCCCTCTTTATTACCTTATGTAGGTCCGTTTCTATACCAACTGTAAATTGTACAAGGTAAACTGACCCATGAATTCAAAAACCAGATAAATATCATGATCATTCCGTGCAGGAATAACACCCAATAATTTTATAATATTTGGATGATCCGAAAATTCTTGCAAAAAAGCAATTTCGCGAAATGTTCGCTAACATAATTTGTGACTAAACTATCCGTACCTGTGCATCTGTTTTATTACGGAAAGCATCAAATATCTTTTTTAAAGCAACGATCTTGTTCAGCTGTTTTGATTTTGCTTTCCACACAATCCCGTATGCCTATTTTGTGAATTTACAAAATTAAAACCACTAACCCCTTTTCCGATTCTCTTTAAAATTTCAAAATTGTCACACACATGTTTCTCAAGTTCATGATCCATGGTATTCAAAAGTTTGCATACGCTTTTGGGGTCCTAGAGACGAACTAAAACAAAACATTATGATAACTTCAACATGTATTCACGAAATTTTGCCATTTAACGCAATTTAAAAAGTCTTATAAGGCCACTATATTATTTTCAAAAAGAAGGCCAAAAGTTTAGTTTTTAGCCACAATTTATATTTTGATTAATAGTTTCAGACAACATTAAGAAAACCTGTGATCCAACATGAGAGGTTACTCCTTAAAAATTAAGAAAAATTACTAATCGATTGCAAAGAAACAACTTAAGTCCTAGGTGCAGGGTTAGGCTTAAATTATTTTCGAGAAACTAGCAGAAATTCTCGGTCCACATCCTTCTAAATTTCGCTAGGGCTCTGAAAGACTTGCTAAAAAACTTCATGTACAAATATGCAACAAACGAATGCCAAAGCACTGAAAATACCTAATGACCTAGAATGACTATTATATTTCTTTTCTGCACTCGTGTAACAATGTCTGACTAATAAAAACTTTGTAAAATTTCTTCAAGTTGTGGGCTTGAAAAATATACCTTAAGTAAGTGATATTTTTAAGCGGATTGCATACGTTGGCAAAGCAATTGTTTTTAACCTGGTATTGCCATGCTTTGCTCAGCATAGTTTAAAAAATTTTATTAACGTATTAGTTTTAGTTATCTACATTGTTGGCGTTCTTTCGTCGCCAAATGGTTGTGCCATCATCGTGTGCATCTCTATTTGGACTATTAGTAATTTGTGACATCGCTTTTTGCATTTTTGTATGGTTTACCATTCTAAGTGATATTTCATTTAAGACTGTCGAGGGTGCAAATTGTTCTCTTTTGCTCTTGACCTGATTTCCAAAGCTCAGCTCTTTTGGCGAATGATTTAATAGTCCTTACTGTTAGGTAATTGTGGCAGCTTTGAAAAGGTCTTTTTTAACGTTTGATTTTATGTTTGAGACGTTTTTTTTAAGCTTTTTCATTGAATGGGCACATTTCCTGCTTTGAAGTTCCGGTCGTAAATTAAGGCTTGTATTATCGCCCAAAGTCTATGCAAGACTAATTAATTTCAGAGGTAGGATTCTAAAATAAAGGTCACCAAGTGTTTGTTTTGTTGCCTTTTGTTCGTCATTAGTTTGTATTCTACTCAATTACCGCGATTCAATAGAGGTAGACCAAGTTTCTACCTTCAAGTCATTAAAGCATCGTCGTATCCATTAAACAAGGAACAATAGTATGAGCGCAAGTTCGATGAAACTGCTAAAAACCTTCCATTACTTTTCTATTGTTTTTTAATGATAATAACTCGCAATCTTGGTAGTTCTGATAAGTCATTACTATTTGAAGTACCCGAGTCGTTAATGATTTTAGAGTCGAACGAGTCAGGGCCTGCGACTATTGCTAAATAGATATCTGTTGAGTGGCATTAGGGTCGAAAAACGATTCACCATTGAAATTGGCTTTTCCGCTCATATATTTGGAACCGATGCCTGAATAATAACAAGATGTTTTTTTTTGTTCATTTACTTTACAGGTAAATCATGCCACAGAAAACCAGTGGTCAAGCAGAAACGCCAGGTCTGATTCAATTTGTTATCAACTGAGCTTTCCGTAGGCAGTGGTGTGGGAATTAGTAGTGTAGCTCAAAATCTAGCTCCTAACATCGATGACGTCCGACACATCGAGGAAAAAATGCTTCGACTATTGGAGGATTTTGAAGCCGGAAAGATCGTGTCGGTTGGTAGGTGTCTTTCATTTCCCAACTGAATTGATTGTTACTATTGAGCTACTATTGCGTATGTATAGACGCCTGATATCCTTCCTCTTTCTGTGTTTAAAATTGTACTCTTCGTTTGTACTTTTAGTCGCGTTTCTAAGGGGAATTCGTGCCATCTGTCCGGATGCATGAAATCTGTTCCCGCCTAGTGAAGGCGTTGTTCATAGTGTTAGTAGTTTATTTTTCATTTAGTCCCGATATAATCCTCCAGAACAAAAGAACAACCGTGGCGGAATGTGTTAGCCGTTATTCGAGAGGTGGTTATTAATAAATATGGCTTTATTCTCTGGCTAACATCTCATTCGATAAGTGATTTTGAAAACTAATTGTTTGGTGTAGTCGAACCCTAACTCTTGGCTATGCCTATGAAAATATCGCTGACGCTTTCGCGCGATTTCACAAACTGCCCTAAAGTCATCACTGTTTGGGAATCGTTAACCTAAATACATGCACACTGGCTAGTTGACTATCACCTCGGTGTCAAATGGGCCACTTTTCTTGCAGAAGGTAAAAACTAAAGCTTTTGCCTTTTTTTGTTGAGGTGTAGATTGCCCCTCTGACAAGTTGGATGCTGTTCGTGAACAGCAAGAAGAGTTAATGCGTCTTCACTTTGAATTGGACAACAAAATGCAAAATGTAGCCGGACCCATATCTGGTCGAAATAGGCAACAGAAACGAAGGTCAGCTGCTACCTATTTTAATTCTTATTATAATCATAATTTTTTTACTAATCCCTATCATGGTCAAATTACTAATACTTACTTAGAATTTGGTCACACTTTCTGATGTTGCGCACAAGTCTATCCTCTTCAAGCCAATGGTCTAACATGCTGTGTACATTGTACCGATGGGAAACATTACATGGTTTCACGCAGCAGACTTCTTTTTGCTTTAAAGGACTACCTCCGAGTATTTGCAATTACTTATTTTGTCAATAGTTAGGAGTCTCTAATTAGTTTTCTTTCGTGTAGTCTAGGCTTACAGCGTCTGCTTTTCGATACACCATCACCATAAATCTTCGGTTTTTTAGATTACTAATGGAAGAAGGAAGAAAGACATCAAAATCGAACTTGTCAACGCTTGTGAACAAACTCGAGGAATTGAGCGTTTCTATGTAGGTTGTTTCTGGGTTCAGTTCTTCTTTATGATAATTTCTTGATGAAATTCCCGTTGACTTCCTTTCCATCCTTTGAGTCTTTAGAGTATTTTGTGGTGAATTAGGATAGGGCATTTTCTCTTGCCACCTTTTCACTTTTTCATCCTTCAATCCAACAATTCCTACTAACAGCTATGCATCAAGAAGAACTACTCTGCTCCTTAGCATAAGTCTGGAGAAGAGGGTTTTCAGTTAGACAAACGTTGATTGAGGTCCTCAACCCTCGGTGCTCTGAAAACATGTGTTGGCGGCATAGCCGATGGATTTGGTAGATGGGAAGAAACGGCTCATCCAAGCACCGGGATGTCTGGCTGTAAAAAATTTAATGTGTGCAGCCCTGCTTTGTCTTACGGAAGCACCACTGTACAATTCATCCAAAGCTGCCGCGAGTTGAATGCTTCTGAGTGCAATGATTGCTTCTTTGAGTGTTGTAACTTCCCGTATGACCGACCATTTCCACAATTAAATTTCGTGCGAGTTCGCTGACGTTTGGGTGCGGTTCTGGATATGGGTCCTGGTAAGCTGATGCTCGTTCATCTGCGTTTAGTTAAAGCTTACTTTGAGAAGAATGAAGGTGGCTATATGTCATCTGCTAGCTGTTTGCAAAATACGCAGTTTACTTGTACGAATAAAGCATTGGCTTTCTATTCTTAATTATTGAGCCGTAGGAGATGTCATGCAAAAAGCATCTGCCACAAAGGAAAATCCATTTTTGAACTTTCTGTGACAGTAATTCAAATTACCCTGCCTATCCTTCAGCGCAGGGCGACACATGCACCCTAACCCTATCTGACGAGATTACCGTGACGATCTTGCACCAATTCGAGTTGGTCACGCATTTGTAGACCTGCTGTTATGTGCTTTCCTCTTCATGTCACTTGTGATTTACTTTGCAGTCATTACACAGGAATGCAATGGTCATTGTCAAGTGCAATGTGTGTGTGTGTGTGTGAGAGGACATCAAACCTCTTGACCGTTCTTAACTCGCAGCCGCCTTCTGGTAAAGGAGCGTAATGGGTGTGGGGTGTTGGACACGTTCGCGTTACCACTCATTTCTGTTGTTTTTCAGTTTTACGGCCGTGCTTTTCAACACACTTTCAGCATTGCCACGTCTGAGATAAAGGAATGTGTTCTCTGCAATACTGGTCGATTGTGCTGTTGTTGCACGGTTAACCCTCCAGCCAGACGCTTGCTCTCGCTGTTTCATTTGACGGTTTCACTCAAATTCAGCGTGGCTGTTGGTCCTCTGTGTTTGTCAATGTAATAACCTAAGAGTTTGGTTATGCTAACCATCCTGGTATATTTTAGTCTTACACTGGTTTTACTGCTTATTTTAGTAAATTCCTAGATTTTCGTGTTTTCCACACCTAGACAAAATCTTCAAAATCAACCGAAGCCTTGACAACGTTCCCACTCCTCAACTCCAGCCTGCCTTATATGTACCATTTTTACTACGTTTGCTTCGTCTTCGCTCCCACGTCAACGCACTATTGTCCGGATTTCAATTTTACTTGACCCACTGATGAATGTGCAATCGAGCCAGCAGGGATTCCGTGGCTGCGGATGCATAAAATATAATCAGCGCATTCCAGACTCATGCAACACCGCGTAAAACACAACTGCTTCAGCAAAAAAAAGTGCATTAAAAAAATGAATTGACTCGTGCCTCGATTCAGTTTTATGACTGAAGAGTAAGTAAACCTGTATGTTCGTTTTGTCATCTGCTTCCTCACTTTGTTGGGTTGTGCTCCTTTTGCTCAGGCTGACGTTTGAGTTATCAAAAATTTTCGGCAATTTATATTTGCCTCATGTTTAAGTAAGAGGATGGTTCCCACCGACTAAAGTTTTCTCTGATATCAAGTTGGGTGTAAAAACTATTAGCAACCGATGAAGGTTGGCCTGGCATTTGAGTCCAGTGGATTTCGTTGAACATTGATCTTGTTACTCATATTCACAGTGACTTTGCAGTGGGCCTATTCTTTCCAGCATAAAAAAATTATGTAGGCACACAGATACCAGTGAATTGGTTTCCACATCTGCTGAATAAGAGGGTTTTGATTCTATTCATCCAATCTTATATTACATGTAGAAATTCAGATTACAATCGCTTGTGTAATCATCATTTCAACTCAAGGATGTGAGCCGAAGTGGGCTACCAAGGATACAAGTCATAGTTGTCCCGGCTATCGGCGATGGGTCTTCATGTACTCATTCCACAGACAGAACCTGATGGTTAAGGGAAACTTTCATTGGCGTTTTGCTGGGTCTCTAAAACCACATATTTGCAAATTGATCTGCTATAATTTGTATTTGAGAATCAATCACTGGTTCAAGTTATGGAAAGGCTTGGGATTCACGTACTAACTATAATTATTCCACCCTGCCACTACGGAGGCATTCATGTTTTAAGAAGGTAGCACTAAGCAGCAGGGTGAATAAAATCAAAATGTGCTCATAGTGGCTTACTTGCACTACCTTACAACTCTGCTAGTTGACAGCCAGTAAAGACGTGAGAACAGACCAGGGAGACATTAATGGACACGACCACCTTATATTAGCTTCACGCCAGTCACGTTTCTGTTTTAGGATGAGTGTGTGCAATGGACGAAAGACAGCCACAAAAAATGCAAGGGGGGAATCAATGACACAAATAGACTTGTAAATAAGCTCCACTGGAGCAGGATCAGAGTCCACTGCAGATTTCTTGCTTGTATAAGCAAACAATACATAGTGGTTGGGGCACAATCGTGCGATTATACATGTTATATTTACTAAAAGGTGTCAGTAAGATGACATACCTAGATAACATTCTAGACGATACATTTCCTCAGTCAAGTAAGCGAACTGCAAAACATAAAATGAAATAATAAAGGAGTCACCACTGAAAATCCGTTTAGCAGCATTTTTGAAGTGGACACACCTTGGAAAACGTCCCTTTCATTTATTTCATTCTGCTTTGAGTTTCTGAATTGAGATTGTTTGATTTAGCCTCTGAATTTCTATCCAATGAAGTCTGAATAATTAACAATGGCATACCTTTTTTCGCTTCGAATTTATTTGCACCAATTACCACTTAAGACTATTTACTTGGGTAAGCTGGCAGACCTGCGTTTCTTTGTAAATGTTATTTATTTCTAATAAGCATGGTTTGGACTTTCAGCCCGCTGTGGACTCCAACCGAGCTACCACGCAAATCATAGGGACTTAGGACAAATTAATCTATCTAAAAGCCGTGATAGATTGCCAGTAGGAGTGAACACACTTTATTAAGACAATCACAAATGAGGTTACTGTATAGTGGAAAGACAAACTTATCAAGTCAAATCCAGTTTCGAAAGGTCCTATGTGCCACGTGAAAATGCAAACGTAGGCTCCTGATGGGGATTAGGCCTCCCGCACTCGATAACAGTTAATTGAATAAAGTAGATGGCTGCGGTGAATATAATGAGCTAGATAGCAGTAAGATTGTGCAGATGCCCATTTAACGTTATTACTGTGGATCATGCCCAGGAAGGAATTGTGATTGTGTCCATTGAAACAAACACTTCCATGCAGGTGTAAGTTTTATTGCATCGTAATAGCAAGGAATCGTAATTGTTGATATCCTATTGTCTGCCCCTAGGGAATTTCCTTGACATTAAGCAGCTATCGGTGCCAAAAATTAGAATTCACTAAATTTTCTCACTATATCCGAGTAATATATTCCAATGTCTACTCCATAATTGTTTAAAATTTGACCAATTTGGCTAATGGGCAATGATATGCATATTTAAACGAGGGAGAGATTAACAGAGAGAATCAAGGGTTATTTACTACAAACCTGAAATCAACCCATATTCCTCTACCAGCTTTTGCAGCATATTTCACCGGTTTAAATTGGCTACTGTCCTATGACGTGTGAGATATGAAAACACAGGTCTGATAGCATACCTTAAATTTGCATTTTTTCACAGGAAAGAGATATCTGAGATTCATGCATAAAAATTTCTTTGTTCGTCAATGGCTAATTTGGTGAAAGAGAAGAGATTGGCAAAACTGTTAACGCAACCACGACTGAGTTCATCATTACAGTTAAAGCCTCATTAAAAATTAAGAAAATATTTTAAAGAAGCAATATGGAAAATCCTAAAAACACTACGCGAAAACTACTTGACGATGAGAGATGATTGCGACTTAGATAAGGTGCTCTAAAATATTCTCTTTTGAAAGTATAATGAAGGATCAAAGAAAAAGATGTAAGGTAGCTAAGGTGTCAATGATTTTATTTTATTTGACTATCATTGCGCATTGTTTGTAATATTTTAACACCAAAATTTCCTTTATACCTCATTCTTAATTGCACAATGGCAAACTAATGCAATTAAAGTAATTATGCCGTTGATCTAACGTTTCGAACCAATCGATATCATGTCTTGTTAGGATTCTGCTGGATTTAAAGCTTTTGAATACCCGAGCCATAGCACGAAGAAGACTAGTTCAAAAGAAAATGCTTACTGTCCAATCACAAAGTAGAACCGTACACCAAGCTCCCCCCCCCCACGAGTTACTTAGCTGACTGATCCGCTCAATTTACGCAGCTAGGCTTCCATCCTTGTCGCTGATTGGCTGTAAACCTTCTTCAAAGGCAATTCAAACGCACACAGACGGAGGATTGGCTGAGCTTAGCATGACCTAACATGTCTGCGCTATCACGTCACTTCGTAGCGAGTCGACGTATAATGCGATGATCACCACCGGCCGCTTCCTTGTTTTCGCCGGCCTTATTTGTTTGTTGCATGCCGCATATTCCGCTACACAACGTTAGTTTTCTTTTAATGTTAGATGTTGTATTTAGATCGGTCGTACGTGAGACTTACCGGACAGGAGTTTGATTCTTTGCCAGCTGACGTAATCTGACAAAACATTCATTGCCATATTTAGATCATTGCGCAAACAATTATTGCATTAATTATTACAATCCTTGGTGTAATTGAAGTTGCTGGTAACTTCAGAGAAATAGACGCTGCAGCTGATTTGCGTGACAAGTACGTCGTCCTATAGTTTCTTTAAAATTCTTCTTGATAGGTGCTGGGATTCTTTCGGTAATCGACCATCTTTTTACGTTTTTAACCATCGACCTTCACTGGTTGCCGAAAACCAGTCATCACACTAATTGAGATGACCTCTTATATCCCCCAGTTTGTCCTCACTGGACCAGACACTGTTTCCTGTCTTTCTTTGTCAAGCAAACTTTTAGCCTCTGGTTTCGAGGATGGTAGTCTTTATTTATGGTCTCCTGATGAATTAGCTGCCCCAGTTTTTGTATTTTCCTCTCCCATGGTTTGTACCGCTATCTCGTTTTATGCCAATGACACTTCAATTCTCTATTCTTCTTACGATGGAAATATTGCTCTTTGGGACCTCAGAAATGGAACTAAACCTGCTACAGTATGGAAGGTGAGAAATTAATTTTTGAATTCTATCACATCTTCCGACATCTGTTGAGCTGTCTTTACCTTTTTTCAGATTAGCAATGACGAAATCAATTCCATCGACGTGCTCAGTCAAAAGGGATGCCTTGCTGCGGCAGATGATTTGGGAAATGTTTCATTGGTTTCAACGACAACCGGCGAACTTATTACCACCATGTCGAAACATGATAATATTTGTTCAGCTGCGTTGTTTCGTCCAGGTTGGGAAAACCAGTTAATTTCTGTCGGTCTTGATTGCCGCCTTATTGTGAGTGATTGGCAGACCGATGGTCGATGCCTTGACCTTTTTGAAATGAGCGACCTTGTTGATGTCAAGTCTTATGCTGACTTACTGTCTAACGAAACGCATTTATCCTCGGATCTGTTAAGTAACGGATATAATGAAATGAGTGAGCCTTGCAGCGAAGATTGTGATTGTGATGGGTCCGCAGAGGGCGATGACTCCTCACTTATAGAAGATTCTGATCAGGAGAGTAAAGCTACTTCTCAAAGCGTAAACAAGAATTTTATACGCGTAAGTTATTCATCTCACTTTTGTATTTTAATGACGTGCCATCGTGACCCCTTCTTTGAATATTAGGTGCCTGTAAATGTGTCTTGTGAACTGAAGCGTATTAGATTTGTCGTTGTTCAGACGATTGTCGTTTCTCTTTCCTTTTTACTAAACATTACTTACATGAATCTTAAAATTGAGATCTCTATAAGTTTTGTGTGATTGTTCTTTTTACGCTTCCATTATCACAAGTCTTTCGAGGTAGTGTTGTTTGTGTAAACATCCTCATCTAAAGTCAAGCTTTTCACGACCGGCTGCGGCGTGATTTCCAAGATGGTATAGTGTGTGCTTTATTTAGCTTACCGCAGGCTACAAGTGTGATAAAATGATAGTGGATCGAAGCAGTGAGTACGATGGAGCAAATCGTCTCTTAACACATCTAACAGATTTTCCTCCTGAAACATCAACTTGCTTCTTACTTGCTATGCTTTCTCTTTAACAGGTTGCTTCTTCATTTTCCCCTGAGGAGATTCAGCAATTCGTAGCGACACAAGTGTTAAGTCAAGGTCTACCCTTAAATCCGCCAATGATTCACAGCCTCGTCTGCACCGAGTCTGGTTCTTACGTTATAGCAGGCCTTGAAAGTGGTGCAGTTGAGGTTTTTCGTGGAGGAAAGCATATTGAACATGTAGAATCTTTAATTGGACACCGGCGAAGTGTTGCTGCTCTGCTTCCCATTGAGGTATGTCCCCGATTCGCACTAAAATGTCACTCATGGTTATTAAGTGTATGTTTTTTTTAGTTTTGCGAAACCGCCATTTGTTTGTAATGAAGTGATACGTTCTGTAGCCACGCACAACTTATATCTGTTCACGTAGTGATTTATTTGTTGCCGACTGCGGATAGTTGAGACACCATGTTGTGAGAATGAGTTGTTTCTAAGGCAAAAAAGTAGTTTTTGTATACTCGGCTTGCTTCCATCTTCACGGCACCTAACGATCATTTGGATGACATCTATTTACCTTGGAGCATTTTACGGTGCACCTTACGTAGAATTTGCACGATTGGTTAGGTAAGTGTGGTTTTAGTTAAAACTTATTCAGAGCGGGCAAACGTATATTATGTGTTGTCGATGTACATGCAGGAAACGGTTGTTAGGACCAACCGCTTTCCATCGTGTAGCAGTTTCGAAAACGAAGCCATATGGCTTGCGTTAGGTAAGAATTACATGAAATTACCAAAAATATCTTTTGTTGACCATTTAAATGTTTCAGGATAGTCCATCAACATCTGATTGACTTTTCCGCAATATTAACGCTTCATTTGAAGCTGTGAATGCCGAGTCGGCGTTATCTTCATGACATTTTTTATCATAAAACATTTTTCGTGTGTGGTGATCTGCCGGTCTTTGACTGTAAAGTTATTTCCCTTGTAAAATGGTTCTAGGGTTCGAGAATTTCTGTGTCTTCTCAGTGAATTTGGCTTGTTTCATCTTGTTTACTCACACCATTTTAAATTAATTCTCAGTGTTTGGTGGTTTGCGTCAGTTTTTTCTTAACTTATCGTAAGCCCAAAAATTTTCTTGCAGGAATCTCATCTACTAAGCGGTGGCAATGATTGTTGCCTGTTCCTTTGGGAGATATCTACAGGCGGCTCAAGTAAGAAGTTTGTCCACTCGGGAAAAATAAACTCTCTTGCTGGTCGCCATCTCAGCAAGATCTACTTGGCTGACAACTCGCCAAAAATCCAGGTTCGTCCGCCCCAGTTTCATCTTTTCAAAACCTTCATCGAGTAAACTTAAGAGGAAAACTTACATCTACTTTCTCATTGGTTCCTAACCTCGCTTTCAAACAGTGATTGGCACTCATTGGGTCCTCCCATGTTTTAACCTAAATAGCTCAACTAAAGTTCTGACACCAGGTCTTCGGTTTAGTCTTATTCGCGTACCCGCGTTTCGTGGTATGTGTTTTATATTTCACAATGCCCACTGCAAGAGATTTTGTGTATTTACGCCTAAATACCTTAAGTTGTTCCACTTTCCAAAAAATCGTGTTGCACTGAACCTTCAGCGACGTTAATTGAGTCATATTCTTTCCTGATATGTAAAACCGCATTCATGAAAATCCCATAGTGTATGTAAAGCACACAAGCCGCATTAACATGTCCGTATCCTTTTTAGGTCACTGACCTCACTCGCGCATAGGCTTGTATGCGTTGGCATATCATTCGTCTTTTTTTCGTACACCACCGCCCTCCTCTTCGTATTAACTTACCCTCTTTGTATAATCGAAACCAAGTGTTTTCATGTTTGCTTGAATACAGGTATGGCTTCCATGTGGTTGTTCCTCTCGTATCGGCTTCGAGATGCTCTTCATTAGCACCCCAAACGGACCAGATTTATTTCATGAGTTCATTTACAAATCTTAGAGGCGCAGGTTTGCCACTGCTGCCAAGCTTCTTGAGTACCATTTGTGGATTTGGCATTATCATTAATTGGCAGCTGTCTAAATGCATACTGAGTTAACGTAGAAGAGCGAAGTTTATTTCATTAACATGTGAGCAGTGTTAAAACCAACAGTGCGAAATCGTGTGAGTACAGGAGTGAGGTTAAAGCTGGAACTTCAGCAAAACAGTTCCAGGCGCTTACTTGGATCGTGCTCTTGCTCTTAGGCCAATAAAAATGTGCGGCTGATTTCAATGTGGTGAATTCAGTCTAAACCGTAAATGCTGAGTAGTCGAGCGCAATTCGCCTTTTTAGGTACTTGGGTACACTTGGCAACTTTATATGAGGGTTCCGCGGATTTTTTCTGCAAGCACTTCTATTATCACTCATCAACAGAACGAGGCTATTCTGGATCAAGTCAGCATGAAATTTTTTTAGTCAAGAATAACACAATAAGAGAAAAGTTGGCTGGATGTAATTTTAAAAAAGAGAATCTATACCAAAGGCCGAGTAAATCCGATGGTTTTTTTGTGTGTCGATTAGGGACTGCAGATAAACAAGTACTTTCATCACGCTACCAAACGGCAACTGCGGTGAATTACTGTGGGCACCTCAATCTACAGAGTGTCAGAACTCAAACATGACGTCAAAAATGGCAAGTTTAAAAAGTGTAGCAACCCATTAAAAACCACTGGGACACATGTCGACTAAGACACTACAAAAAGCCTAAGGATTATCAATGGGAAAATTTTCAGCGCCAGCCATATTTACCGACCTTGCCCCTCAAATTCTCTCCGATATTAATCGTTAAAATATATATTGAATGACAAGAAATATAACGTTGGGAGGGATTGAAGAAAAACCACACAGGCTTTACACGGTTATGATTCAAAAATAGCAAAGATGGAGATGGGGTTCATCGACTTGATGGTGAGTGCATTGAGAATTAATACATGCTATTCTTCATGAAAACGTAACATATTTCATTACGTTGGACATTGGGCATGCACATGCGAAATAGCTCAGTAGAGAGGACTACTTGGCATATTATATAACTAACAATTAATTAATTTAAGTGACAAAATGCAGCCCTCTTAGGCCTTTAACTTATAGTTAACACATTGAATAATTATGGGCTTTTTTATGCCTTGCCCTGTGCACTTGAAAGAAATTTCACCTGCCTTGTTAGTAGCTCCAATTCAAACTACTAGTAAAATCCACGTTGATTAAACTTGTAGCACTTGGCTGATACAGCGCAGTTAATAGTGACATTTTAAGGAAATATTAATAAAATACATCATCTTTTCGATGAACGACTGAAGTGTTACTCCATATACTTATTAATTAATTCCTTTTTAGTTTAAAGACCACATAAATTCCTTAAATCTAGGACTAAATTCAGATTGTTGTTGTAGACTTTTATAAAAGCATAACCAGCTATCTGGCCTAACATTCAATGTATTTTTGCAAAATAACCTACAAAGGCATCAGGCACAAAAATTATTTCAGGAAGATACGATAAATCTGATCGAATATAGCTTTATTTGTAAAATCTATTCTTAATTATTTAAAATAAGAAGTCATCGGCCATCTCGTAAAGACAATCGTTCAACGGGTTCAGTTATTTCGACAGCGGTTATAAGCTTGGGCATTTACAAAAATTTATAGAAGAGTTTTGCTGCGTGAGTGCAGCCAATAAATGCATTTGCCACAATTACCTAAAGACTAGGATGACTTCATTGTGAGTTACACATGGAAGGAACAGAAATAAACATATTAAGTTTGCGTTGCATTAGGTATTTGGGATAAACACCCAGCAGTACGCCATGTATAAAATAATTTCCTTTCAGTAAAAAAGGATAAATTTGTAGAGACTATTCAAAATGCTATGAACGTACCTTGAATTTGTGTCCTGACGTCATACGAAAACAGAAAATTTTTCATTAGTTAATTTCAAAAAAATGTACAAAGTGAAATTGTAAAAAAGCACCACGCCTTTTTTATATCATGTTATGAAACTAGAATGGATTTTAGCATTAATAATTAACACAAGATTATGTTTTGAACAGTGGTTTCAAATCGAGTTAAGCCTTCGTCCATAAGTAAAGTCTTCCTTATAAACAGCAAAGAAAATTTAACGTTAAAAAAATAAGTGTATATTTTTTTGCTTATACGTTTTTGTTGTATATTACTTAAAATACTTCTTCTACAACGCGTTATAAAATACAACGATTGTTTCAACTAGCTAATTGTAGCACTTTTAGCCATTCTGGTTTCGGTTTCACAATTTCTCAAATTCTCTCGCTGGACGCTGTGAATTCATTAACGCCTTTTTAGTTAACACGAGTCTGTTCTCGGGAATATTGTAAGAAGCTTCCTGTCGATCCCTTTATTTAATGACTGTTTATTAACATGAGCGACGAAATCGGTGATTATACAAGTCAGTGCAACTCAGAATCATTTTTAGAGAGTTTCAATATTGACACTGGTGAGGGTTCCTTGATTTCTGTTCGTTTCATTTTTTGTAACCTTGTTTTATTTATTTAATATTCGCGCGTTAAAATAGTGGCTTTTATTTTCTTATTATTTCTACTATTTATAGCATAGTAGTATAATAAGTTTTCACCTAGTGTTGTTGCCCCTTCATTTGTCCCTGTTGTCTCTCTTCCGACCACTTTCCTCATACTTGGGTTTTACTTGTTTAAGGTGCGAATGAACAACCGAAGTTTGTGGTCAATCTTGATAGTAAGCCCCCTTTACATAGCACTTCCTAACCTCGCAGCCCTTGCAGATGCTCCAGGTACCCATACACCGGGTGATCAGAATGCGGGATCGCCCAAAACCTCACCTTCGTCCTCTGCACCGGTTGCGCCTCAATTTTCCCCATTTATGCAAATTGGGAAACCCAAGGTTCGGCCTCGTGGCTCTTATAAACCATTAAATGAAATGTGAGTTCAAATACCCCTTTCTGCACAGATCAGTCAAATTGATATTTAAACCATGATTTCTGTTTGTTTGGGAAGTCGTTTCACTCCCTAAACCATAGTTCGACTGATTCGGATGTGCAATGTCAGATTCGCATTCCTGCCACTCTCCTTGACACTAATAATTGACCCTTGAGTTGTCTAAAACATGTCGTTTTTTGTCTACTCGAAGGTTTTTTTCGAGTTTACGCATGTATATTCCCGTGGTTAGTGAATATAAAAGTGGGGCAAAGTTACTTGGTACCAAAACGACCACCGATACTCTATTATCTGTTTTTACTAGTAAATCTGCTTATGAGAGATGATGTAGTGGGGCTTTTATTTCAATGGTATATTAGCTTGTGCGAGTAGTCCTGGTTTCCAAAGTCTTCTAGTACATATTTTACCACACTTTTCTCGCATTTTGCAAATCCATTAAACCTCCCACGAAGCTGGTGCCGTCTACACTTGTCCTGTCACCTTTTCCTCAAGTTATGCTCATTTTCTATTTGTATGTCTAGGTCTCGGCCTGCATTAAATATTCGGCGCAAACCTTTCGGTAACTTTAATTCAGGGAGATAAAATAAAATCGATGAACTGGATGTGTGGATTCCTTTTTAAAATACGGAATGCAACGTAAATGAGGAAGTCAATGTTGTAACGATGATTCCTAACTCTTAGAAAGTCTTGTGCTCTCCAAGAAAACCACTTTTTGCGTATTGCCTTTGTTTCTGAATAGTTAAAATAGTTGAGCATTTGGAGGATTTCGATAAGACTAATGAACTGGCGCAGGCGTTTTGTTACTTTGTACGTGATTTGATTACCCCATGGCATAATAATGGGAAATAAGGTATGAGGTGTGACCTGAAATGACACGATTGTTAGGTTTTCTAGTTAAAGCAAGTGCAATCTAGGTTTACTCAAGCTTATGAGGTCTAGTTGTTTGTTATTTGTTGACCAACAAAAACCTTGTAATTATTGCAGCATTCATTCAGCCAATATTTCTCGACATAAACTTTTTATTTCCATGCTCCTGTCGTGCTTCAGAGTTGAGACTCGCATAAGAACCTATGAGGGCTCTGATTCCCACACGAAAATCTCCACTCTCCAATCACATTTTCCGCAATTCAAACGGTGCCATATCGACCGATGCTTTACAAAGAATCTCCTAGACTTCAACAAGACTTATACCGAGCTTTTTGAAATGCAGAAAAAGCAACAGGAGGAACGGGCTAAGTTTAAGCTTATCCTCACACCGAAATGTAAGCCTCTATTCGCATACAGTCGTAATTTAAATTGTACTTACGTACTTTAAGTAACTTTATTTTTGAAGCCGAAAAACCGAAGCCTTCTCGTATAATTCCGAACATCAAATCTCCGGAGTTGATCAACATGCCTTCATTCCGTGGTCGGCCAGCACGAAAGCTTGAAAATAAGTACTATCGTCGCGTTATCGTAGGCAAGGATGGTTCCGTGGAGGCCGCTGAAGTGACTGAACGCAATTTCGTTCGTCAAGTTGATCCACACAACTTGCTTGTTGCGCGGCAGAAACTAACAATGCCAAAGAGCATCTCGTACCCCGGAATGCCTGGCGGCGAGTTTAACTTAAATGAACCAAGTGAGGAGATGTCAAAAGCGGCTGTAAGCTACGTTCGTAGTTATTTTTGTAGTGGTTTATTTTCAAGTCTTAAGAAACTAATTTTCGTAATTCCCATACATCTACGTTGCAAGTTCCCCCCATTACCCGGTAATTTAATGTCAGCAAAATTGTCGTCGCTCCATTCCCGCAAACTATTGTCAATTTTTTACAGATGGAACGAAGTGAACTAGTGCTCAGCCCTAATTTAACTAAGAGACCAAAATAAGGTGTTTTTTCGTAACGCTTCGCTTTGAAATGGTACGTATACTTATTTAGGTTGCCAAAGCTGCGGATATTAACAAAGCAGTCAGCGAAGCTGTTGCGGCGATTAAGGCTGCCCATCCAGAAATGTCAAATGAGAAGGAAAAGGACGCGTCGCAAGATTCATCTCAAAAAGAAAAACAGCAGCAAGATAAAGGAAAAAGGCAACCAGGAAATAAATTCTTTCGGAGCAATCGACTCACTGACGCCGAGCTTAAGAAACGTGATTACGTTGCAAAGGAGCTTCAGGCGACTGGGCGCGTCACTCGCTCCTCGGCAGTCAAGGCTGAGCCCTCCGGAGAACCCTCCGAGGATGCTGCCAACTTCATGGCTGGCGTTGGTGTTGTTAGTACACCCAGTAAGCCTTATTTCCGGCTCTCGTTTTCTTTACCCATCTTGTGTTTGACCATGAAGATTGATTCTAGTGTTTATTAAAACCCGTCGCGCCTCCGGTTTATTGGATTCAGTTACGTCGATTTCTTTCATTACTCGGACACTGGTTTGCTTTTTCTTTGCACCCTAAGTCACATGGGTAGCAGTTTGGATTGTATATCCTCACTTAACGTTTGTTTTCATTTTTTAAAGCACCAAAGAAAAACGTTGGCCGCCGTGGTGGCCGTAATAAGTCGGCTGCGAAATCCCAAGAAGAAGTTGTTGAAGACTCCGAACCGCATGAAGAACCTGATGAGCTCGATGATGTAAGTCACTTTACTATTATAGTTTGTGCTAAATCTTTGTTGTCTGCCTTTTGGATTAATTCGTTCTGAGATAATTATTCGTTTTGAGATATTCTCGTCGCAAGTACTTTCGATAGCATAATTCTCCTTTTTGACTGTTTTCCTACTAATGTGTTACGATTGAGGTTTTGCGATGTTGAAGTTGACTGTGAATGTGGAGCACATATCTATCACACAGTGGGTGTTTACTTTATTGTTATCAAGAGCTGAAACATTTGTTTTTCTGCAGAACTGAATCTCAATTTTAATAATGTGACGTTTGTTTTTAAAATGTGGTTATGTCGTAGCATAACAGGACGCGAATTTCGACCGAACATCCCACTCTGTTACCGAATTACTATTTACTGAACCTACCACACTTTACCGATTTGTTCAATCAACAAAGTCATCTGTGTTTTGCTCTTAGCATGTGGGCTGGTCGTTAAACTGTTAACCTTTTGGGTCAGACGGACCAAGAGTTCTGCGAATGACATAAGCCTGTTGTTTTTGTTTGCTTGTAGTTTGGCTTAAGGCGGGAGGAACGCAATGCCCTTTTAGCCTTTTTCAATGAGGCTCCTCTGGAAGAACTCAATTTGATGACCGGTTGCTCCCAAAAGACAGCTGAAGTTATTATCAACCTGCGTCCTTTTAATACAATAGTTGACCTCAAGCTCCGTCTCGATGCCACGCGTTATCTCTCGACCTCTCTCATTGACGCCTGCAAGGAGCTCATGCAGGCGCGCTCCATGTTCATGTCGATGTTGCGAAGTTGTGAGGCGATTAGTCAACGAGTAAAGTCGCGTATAGCCAGTCTTCTTGCAGATGACTCTGTCGATCTGCCTAAAGAAGGGGGTGACTTTTCCAGAAACAAAAAGACCGGTTTTCTTCGAGAGCAACCTGTCATCTTGCATCCTCTGTGAGTTGTTGTCACACCCGGTTGGCAAACATTTTGCCTTTTGCAATGGTTAGAGCTCTGCATTTTTCAGGACCTTTGTTTTGAGTTCAGTAGACATAATCCTAGATGCATCATTTTACCTATGGGCTTTGTCTCCTGCTGGATTTCCTGTTGGTACTTGCTTACTAATGTTCTCATCTCTTTCTCCGCACTTCTAAATTAACCCTTCACATTCTAGACGTCAGCTTAAGCCCTATCAACTTGTTGGATTGAATTGGTTACGAATCTTGCACGATGAGGAAGTGAACGGAATTCTGGCTGATGAAATGGGTCTGGGCAAGACTGTGCAGGCCATAGCGCTATTGGCATACCTTTACGAGCAGGGTGAACGTGGACCTCATCTCATTATGTGTCCCAGCTCCACTGTGGACAATTGGCAGCGCGAACTCCACAATTGGTGCTCGCAATTGAAAATCCTCGTCTACCAGGGAGCGGCCGATGTGCGCAAGGCTATGCGATTAAAAATTTATGAAAGCCAACAGAATGATTCCCGACCGGATTTCAATATTCTTCTCACGAGGTGAGTTAATACCTTAATTTTTTTTCGCTTTTACTATAAATTCAACTTCGCTATTCGAATATCCACTAATGTTAGACCAACTGTGAGACTCGTGGAATTAACAAGTACTTAGACCGAACGCTTTATTTTTCTTAGTAGTTCAATATATTCATTTTTTGTGTACGCTATTTAATTTGTAGTGCAGCACTTACCAGCTCGGATTTGACCACCTAATAATGCGAATAGCTAATAAACACTGGCTTTTGTTATTCCCAAGTCACAGATCGCCAAAATGAGCTTGATGCAGCATCTTATTATCTTTTTCCGCTTTCGATTCTGTCTGAATTGCCTCTGTGTATTTTAGTTACACGACAGCTACGAGTACCCTAGAGGATCGGGCATTGATGAAGCGCGTGGACTTTAAGTACGGCATCTTTGATGAAGCTCACATGCTGAAGAACATGACTACTCAGCGTTACAAGACCTTGTCAAGTTTCCAAATTCAACGCCGCGTTCTCCTAACTGGCACACCTCTTCAAAATAATCTCATTGAACTCATCTCTCTCCTGGCCTTTGTAATGCCAGATCTCTTTGCCGGTGGAAATGCCGATCACCTAAAACGCATGTTCCAACTGATGAGTAAGTCCACCACCGTGTCATCCGGCGACCAGGTTGGTGAGAAGAAAGAAGAAGATAGTAAGGAAAATGAGGTGGAGGAGAGTAAATCCTCAGTCTTATTCTCAAGCCGGAGTCAGTTTGAACGGGAGAGAGTAGAACAGGCGAAACGACTACTTCAGCCATTCTGCCTCCGTCGACTAAAATCTCAAGTAGGTCCATTATCAAGACGCTTTCCTTCAAGTACATTCATTTGCTATCGGCATGGGTCAAATTACCACCACTAAACGTATTATTCAAAGCTCACTTTACACGGTCTAGTGGCTCGAACAGGCAGGCCTTGTTATTTTGTGTTCAGAAATTGTACACCAACATTTATAGTCCCTCAATTTAAAATCCCTTTTATTAACCGTGAGTGAAGTTTGTCGTCAAGTGATCGTGGCGTTTTATGTGGCACTTGAGGCATCCGTTTGCGCATCCTCCAAGGAAAAAGCCTGTGTTAACAATATTATGTAGTATGCGTATAATGATTTCCGGAATATTACGGACATATGTGACACTAAATATGAATATTATGATTGACGACTTTAATTGTCTCGCTATAATGGTGCTTCCATTATTTCCAGAGTATTAATCGACATTGAATTCCGCGTTTCGAAGGAATTAACTTGACCTTGATTTGACTTGGAAATAGCTTGACCTTGTCATTTGATGTGCCCTAATTAGGAGATTGGATAGAAGTCCTTTTCCTTTGATTTCGTCGATGTTTGTTATATTTAGTTATTCATTTAGCTCTTCAACATCTAGAATTGAGTAATTTCGATTTGGAAGAAATCCGACTTGAGCCGTAGTTTCCCTCAAAATGCCTTTGTCCGTACTTTTCACGTTTTGTGTCTTTCCTGTCATAGGTGCTACAGCAGTTGCCACCAAAAACTGAGGAAACAATCCGAGTTCCCTTCACCGATAGCCAGAGAGCAGCTTATACCAATTTGATTAATGAATTTCGTAATGCCCAAGGTGCTACTGCCGCCGACATGGCCAACGACGTGGGTGAAGATGAAGACATGGCTTCGGTGAAAATACAATCCAACCTTTTGCTCAACAAGGGAACCGTCACGAATGGAGCCAAGCGCCAAAAAATTTCAATTCTAGATGCTGGTAAGCCGATTTACTGGTTACAAAGATGACACACCAACGGGTTGTCTTGCTAGCCCTTGCAGAATGTAACTCCTAACCGCACAAGTTGCCAACGATTTGTCTCACCACCAATGTATCTGTGGGTCTGCTTGGTGGATTTCTGCCAACTTGATGCATGACTTCATTTCATTGTTCGTTAAATGATGGATGGAAATGGTATTTCGAAATTTGCACCGTATACAAGTTAGTGTCCGTTACGAATGCCCGTTGGCCAGTACTCACACGTGACCCGACAGCGACCACTAACGCCCCTGGATGGCTAGATCGGAGCAAAAGGAAAGATCCGAGAGATTAAAGTCGGCATCAGTGCAGACACGTCGTTCATTAACCTGCCACCCTGTTAACGTCGTTGTCGCTGTAATTTCGATTTATATACAAGTGCAACAGAGCCAAATTGTCTGCTTGAGATGTGAAGCGAAAGTTGCGAAATTGTCGTCAAAATTGATATTTTTTTCAAAGAGGATACGGTTTACTGGGCTTATTGACTTGATCTAAGGTGGTGACTTCGCGCCGTGTTCATTTCGCCTCAGTTTCGGATTAACATTCCAGCACTGACTACAAAAATACGTTGCTCTTATTCAGCTCCAGTCACTCTACATTTTTGTTAACTTATTCCATTGAAGTTAACTCAGGCTCAAGTTAGGACTGTTTTACCTAAACAAATGGATCGTCCGAAATTGTGCCAGAAGAAGTCGCCAATGAAAGTGTCAAAGGCTAGGTTTTATGCTGTGGCTATGGAGCAACAGTTTTTGTAATGTAGAAGTTTCTCTCATGAATTCTTAATAGACTTAGTTTTGTGTAAATTTCGCTCCCTTCTGCAAGGATTTATTGCTTCAAAAGTGACCACAACATATGTCAATACTTTTGCTTCGCTGGCGTGCCTTGTTTTAGTAAATTTTGTTTAGAGCGCACAAAAAGCCTCATGTGGAAGTGCGAGTATTTTTGAACTCCTTGTAACCCACAACATCTTTTATGTAGCAACTGGTGGGTTGGATCGTTCCGGCGGAGTGGAGCGTCTTTCGCCTTTCAACATGTTAATGCAGTTGCGCAAGGCAGCCAACCACGAGCTTCTTCTCCCTGGCATCGCTTATTCTGATGACACCTTGAAGGAACTTTCCGTCATTCTCCACAACGATCCAAGTCACTCTGACGCTGATCCCGTCTTAGTGCTAGAAGACCTCTGCAACCTGTCCGATCATCAAATCCACAAAGTTTGTCGTCTCTATGATGTGAGTGAATTGATGCTACGCCTGACAAGTGGTGTGAGCGATGCTTTTGAATAAACCATTCACCACTTTTCGGAGCTTACAAGACTTAGTTATTTGCACACCTGGATTAGTTATTAATGTTCAATTTCTAGGTTTTGTTTCTAGCTTCTCGTTGATGCATTGGATAAATGTCCACTGTAAGGCTCCACAAATACCCGTGCCTAGTGTGGTTTTTGAAAATTAAGCGAATTTCCGTTATTAAACTGATTTCTTTTCCCGTAGGTTCTCAACCCATTCGCCTTACCACCGGAGGCCCTTGTGAATGGTTCAGGCAAGGTCAAGTGGCTTGACGAAAACCTCCCAGGTTTACTTAAAGATGGTCATCGCATTCTTATCTTCAGCCAATTCGTAATTGTTCTTGACATCCTTGGCGAGTATCTTATCAATAAGGGCCATAAATTTTTGAGAATGGATGGTTCAACACCAGTAAACGATCGTCAGACTCTCATCGACACGTTTAACAAGTAAGATTTTCTGTTGACTTTTTTCTGTGAGTAAATATTCATTGGCGTCAACTCGCTGCGGCATGAAAAATCATTGTTACGATTGTATTTTGTTGTAATCCATTTCGGTATCGCTAAGTAGATAATTGAGAGACTGTTTGACACTCAAATTTCGTGTCTTATCCATATAGGGTAACAAAATGAATCTGTAATGTTCTCATTGCAAACGTCCAATTTTTTTACCACGGGTGTCTATGCATAACTGTACTTGACCACGCGCAGATTTGCGTCTTCGTGGTGTGGTAAGCCGTTTTCTTGCCACGGGCGCGGACTATTCGGTTCTCCGCTGAAGTGGTCGGTACAGGGGTCGTTGAAGTATTTTGGACCAAAATCTAGTTGTTTATCGGCTTCGTGTTGCATAATATCTTGCTTTTAGTGAAAATTGGTGTTTTATTGACTCATCATCCATAACTCTGGTTCAAAATACGCTGCAAAATGCTATTTATTCGATTTGTTTCCTCGACTCGGGTTACTTTCCCTTTCACCTAACTTGTGCTACACAGCGTTGTGCACCCTCCTATGGCCCTTGTCTGTTTTAAAATAGGGTGTGTTTAAAGTCACCCAGAGTAAACTTTCTCTGTTTCTGGTTATTGCCCTTTTCTAATTCAGATATTCTTTAAACACTACTCAGAAATGGCTAATCATCTTTTTTTAAAAAAGCCCGAAAAGTATTAGTTTGAGTAAGTCTCAAATTGTAAGGTTGCTGTTTTGAATTCTAGTGACGAAACCTACGATATTTTTCTGCTCTCCACAAAGGCCGGGGGTCTGGGTATAAGCCTGACAGGTGCCGACGTGGTGATCCTTCACGATGTGGACTTTAATCCGTACAACGATCGCCAAGCTGCTGATAGGTGTCATCGTGTCGGTCAAATGAAGTAAGTCTGCAACATCTTGAGGCTTTTTACACAATCCGGTGTGCAGGAATCTCCAGTGACAGTAGTAAAGGATATTTCTTTTATGTACACCTCTGTAAAAACATTAAAACGAAGAAGTCTATGATTTAGGCTTGAAGGTTGAGGTTTTCATGCAACGGCACTAACGTTTCCTAATTCGAACAAAACAGTAGGTGGTTATCATTGCCTGTTTTTAAAGACCGAGTAGAACATATTCAAATGTTGGATAAAATGGAATCAGGTTGGATTAGCTACCAATCACGCGTGTATAAAAACAGGCAAAAATGAATAAAAGGTCACAAGCAGGTGATGTCTCTTCTCATTTTACGTTTTCTGTGCGTTTATAATTTCTAAACAATTCCGACATTGTCACTATCCGAGATTACTTTTGGGAGGTAGAGGATTTGATCTCTTTGAAAATAAGTAAACTCAGCTTTACGTAGTTTTCGTTCGGCAGGCTCGATTTAAATGTGGCTATTCGATGACCAGGTGCCGTAAATAAAACTTCGGATCTGTTTGCTTATTTCTGGATTAAATGTATTTGATAAATCCATACTTAACAGTTGGATTTATACCAATTTGTCGGGTGTTGGATGAAAAAAGCTCCCCTTGTTTGTTTGTTTGGGCTGTCATCCGCGTTCATTGTTTTGGATGTTCTCTAATTGATTGATTAATTCCCTCCCCAGGCCAGTTCGGGTGATCCGCCTAATTGCTGAGAATAGCGTCGAGGAGAGCATTTGGCAGAATGCAGAGGACAAGCTTCGTTTGGAAGAAGACGTCATAGACTTTGACACAGCCACTGCTCCTGTCAGGGTGGCATCTACCGGAGATAAACGCAACGGCAAAGAAAGTCTTGATTGTGAGGAAGGAGCGAATGGCGATGTCGATGCCGATGACCAACAACTACTCCAACAGCGACGTTCGACCACCTCGGGAAAGCGTCTTTTACAAGGCGAGATCTTCAAGTTCCTCTCGGATGCCCTGAGTTACTGCGGAGGTAGCAGCAGTATAAAATCCCCCCGAAATAACCCCTGACAAGGCACTTGTGGTCAGATTTCAGTGTCTGTACTCCCATATGGTGCTAGCAGCGTAAACTCTCTAACCATTTTACACTCGCTTTTTGATTATCACTGTAAATTCCTTTGATCAGCTACTATGGTGTCCTCAAGTGTATTATGAATAAATTAGCCTTATCTTTGTAAAAAAAAGTGTCCGAAAGTTATTGCCTGTTTTATTTGCATTTGCTTTTCTCCCCATGAGTAATTAAGTAAATGCGTTAAATATGCTCTACTGGTGGCCACAATGTTAGCATCAAACTGCCTGCAGGCACAGGCACTCAAACCTGGCGTCTTGTCTGGAAGTGAACCGCTATGTTGGGTGTGTACCGCAAACGACTGTTGTGGTATAGCAGGATTTCAAATTATGCAGGTGGTGTGAGGTAATAATTCCCGTGCGTGATTTTAAGACTTACTTGGTCTGCTAGCTTTCACCGCGCTGCCCCCGCTCCAGTCGGCATTTAAACTTGTTTTACGCACAAAATTACCACTAATCTTGGTTGTTAAGACTCCTGTGAATGGGACATAGTCATAATATTTTGCCTGATAAATTTGTGGTTTGACGTATGAAGAATAGAACCTACGTGAAATGCACCTGACTTTGGGGATTCTCATCCCCAGTGTACATATTGCGCACCTTTTGCATCCGTCCTCATCAATGTAGCGGTGATTGACATAGGTTCAAGAACAAAAGCAAGTACTAAGTAGATCCGCAAAAACATTTTGCGCTCCCATAAAACAATTCACCTAAGCTTAAAAGTAGGTGTCGCTGGCACAAAGCTGAGGATCGGCAAGGCGGAACAATGAATAACTGAACAAGACGTAAAAACTCGCATAGCTTCAATAAAAGAGGGCTTCCGAACCTTGAACGCCGTTACGAGTTCTGATGGTGGAAGTGGCAACCTAAACATTGTAAATGTATGCATAGATCCAGTATTACGAGGACCTTAAACTGGTGCATTGGCGGTGTTTTAAGTGACCCTCCGTCCACGGGTAAGAGGCCAAAGGGTAGGCATGTATCAAGGCTAAGCGAACGCACCAAGCAGGTACACATTGCTATTTCCTGTTGGCAGCTGTTGGACTGCTGTCAATGAACTACTCGAATAATGGGAAAAATCAAATTTGCCAGGGAAGTAATGCCCGCATCTCACGACAACTTCTCCCCGACAAAGCACGTGTTAGAACTGACGTTTTAAATGCTTTCAGATTGGTTGCTCGGGAATGGATCGAATGTAAATGGCTGCCAACCATCCTCAGCCAAATGGCTTGGTGAAGCGTTTGCATTAACAACTGAAGGGTGCTAGCTCACCGTTGACCTGATACGTTACCCCCCGTCCTACTCCGAATTCCATGGGCTTTTGGCGAGCAACAAGCGAGCACAATTTGCAAGTGTGAGCGAACACAATTCAGTCGATTTACGTGAATCTACTTCACGTAACTCCAATCGGAGCTTCGTGAAGCTATATAAGGACACCTGTTATCCTGTACAAACATACACCGCTATTGCATCAGTAAGTTAGTTGACCTACGTCCCATCTGCATTTTTCCACTCTTCTTTCGGTCGGGCCGTGTTAGCGTATGTCGCCAGCCCTGGTGTGGTTCCCCGAAACCTCAATGGGGCCAGCTACAGGCTGTAATGGAAATCGTTAAAGCCACTACAACACCCATTCAATGCTTTGTCTCAAGACGTATGACTAAGTTCACATCGTCACGTCCGCCAATCAAGTGAGACGATGAGCAAACAGCAACCCACTCCGCCTTACTAGTCGTGGTGTAGAATGCCCGAGCCCTAGTATGAAGAAGACTGGTACAACAGAACAGGCATTATTGACCAACCACAAGCCCGGACCACACGTCAAGCGCCTTCCATCGAGTCCACCACGCTGGCCACGCCGTCCATTATATTATGCACCCCATTCGTATCCTTCTCTGGTTGGCTGATTATCTTTCTCGCATGCCATTGGAACGCAAAGAGGCACAGGATTGGCTGAGGCCAGTGTAGCCCAATATGTCTACGCCCTCATACGTCGCCACTGTAGAATACCCGAGCCCTAATAGGTAAAAGACTGGTACAACAGAACAGGCTTTATTGACCAATCAGAAGCCAG